GCCCATGCATACCTCCATAATCTTCCCCTATCTTCCTTGCTCATCTGCTCCCCACCCCCTTATTGTGTACTGCCTTCCTCCTCCTTGTACAATACCTTCCTATCACCCAGCTATCATGTGTCTATTCCCTAGTCTGTGACTTACTGTCCCTCCCTCCCACCCCTGGTAACCATCAAAGAATTTTTCTTTTAGTATGGAAATCTTTTTTTTTTTTTTTTTTTTAAAGCTTTTACGATAATGGTCTTATGAAATATTTGTGCTTTTGTGACTGACTAATTTCAGTCACCATAAGTTCCTCAGGGTTCATTTCCTGATTTCCTTCTAACTCTCTTTGTTGGTTTATAGGAATCTGACTGATTTTTGTAAGATGAGCTTGTACTGTACTTTGCTGAATCTTTCAATGAGTACTAATAATTTTCTTGCTGGGTTTTTAAGATTTTCTATGTATAGGATCATATCATCTACAAACAGAGAGGGTTTGATTTCTTTGCCAATTTAGATGACTTTAACTTTTCTTTGAACAGAACAAGGGGATACTGATTGCTTTAAAATCAGAAAAGATGTGCACCAGGGTTGTATCCTTTCAACATACTTATTCAATGTATATGCTGAACAAATACTCTGATAAACTGGATTATATGAAGAAGAACAAGATATCAGGACTGGAGGAAAACTCATTAACAACCCGTAATATACAGATGATACCACCTTGCTTACTGGAAGCAAAGAGGACTTTAAACACTTACTAATGAAGATCAAAGTCTATAGTATTCAGTATGGATTACATCTAAATGTAAAGAAAACAAAAATTCTCACCACTGGACTAATTAATACCATCATGATAAATGGAGAAAAGACTGGAATTGCCAAAGACTTCATTTTGTTCGGGTCCATAATCAACACTCATGGAAGCAGCAGTCAAGAAATCAAAAGATGGATTGCATTAGGCAGATCTGCTGCAAAAGATCTCTTCAAAGTGTTAAAGAGCAAAGATGTCACTTCGAGGATTAAGGTATGTCTCACCCAAGTTATGATATTTTCAATTACTTCATATACATGTGGAAGTTGGGCAATGAATAAGAAAGATCATAGAAGAATTGTTGTGTTTGAATTATGGTGTTGGTGAAGAATATTGAAAGTACCATGGACTGCCAAAAGAACAAACAGATCTGTGTTGGAAGAAGTACAGCCAGAATGCTCCTTAGAAGTCAGGATGACAAAACTTCATCTCTCATACTTAGGACATATTTGCAGAGGGCACTGGTTCCTGGAGAAAGATATTATACTTAGCAAAGTGGAGTTTTGGCAAACAATAGAAAGATCCTCAACCAAATGGACTCACACAATGGCAGAAACAACGGGCTCAAACATAACAATTGTGAGGATGGCACAGGACCAGACAGTGTTTCATTCTGTTGTACACAGGGTCACTATGATTTGGAACTGACTTGATAGCATCTAACAACATTTATCACTTTCCATATTCCTCTTTGACCTGTGAACAACCATCCTTTTCCTTGGCAGCACCCCATGATCTGGATACCACCCACCTTGCTGGCTCTGTTAATGGCCCAAGCTTTGCCCACCTCCATTCAGTCTCTGCCAGCAACCTTGACCAGCAGAGGAGCCCCTTTCCCACCTTCCTGCCATTTGCCCAGTGCTGCCCATTGGACTGGAAACTCAGGTAGCTATGGTCCCATCCATACAGCTCACCCTCCCACAATAATATATTCTAGAGAGCCAAGAGTGGATTCTTCATTAATTTCTTAGAACATCAACAAGTATTTCTAAAGAATAAAAACTAATGATTTTAGATATGATACTGAATGCATAAAAATAATTTGTCAGTATGAAACATTCCTTCAAGTTTATTAATCAAACAGGAATTTGTCACCAAAGTGAAGTCCTTTCCAGTGGAAAACAAGGATGGGGAGCATCTAAGGCCAAGGCCACATGTGGGTCCCACTGAGTGTGGGAATTGGAGTTGAGGCAGGACAAGGGAAAAATTGAAAATGATACTGAGATAAGAGCATCTATTCCATTTGAAGGAACCTGAGTAGCATAATCAGTTTGCAGTGGGTTCAAATCCACCTAACAGCTTCAGGGAAGAAAGGTCTGGTGATTTGCTTCCATTAAGATTACAATCAAGAAAACACTCCGGTGTCAATTTGATAGCAGCCCACAACAACAACTCCCCCTAACTCAATGACTTTCAATTCTTGCTATACATTAGAATAACATGGAGAATGAGAAAACAATAATAATGATTAAAAAAACAAAAAAACTCCACAAAAAACAAAGAACTCACTAAAGCTTTCGGAAAAATCCCTGGAGGTGGAAAGGTTAAACACTCCACTGCAAAGCAAAATGTCGCACCCAGAAGCTCCACAGAAAAAAGTCCTAGAGATATGCTTACACAAAGACTTCAGCCTTTGGACTTGGAGGTTCAGGCCCACAGTCTTGGGGGACACCATTATCAATTAATAGAACACAGTCCATGAAGACAATGTTCTACACCCTACTTTGATAAGTAGCAACCGCGGTCTTAAAAGATCAGTTGTCAAAAATGATTGGCCATCTAAAGTGCAACTACTGATCTCTCCTTTCATGGAGGAAGCAAGAGCAATGAAAATTGAAGACACATGGATACAATTAATCCAATGGACCTGAGAACAGAAGAACTAGATGATGTCCAGTTATACCACTATCAACTGCTCTTAGAGGGATCACATTAGAAAGTCCTGGGTAGAGTGGGAGAAAATGTGGAACAGGACACCCGGTGACACGATTGATTGTCAGCCAAGTAATAGGTAGGTCTATAGGTGGAACAACAACATTAGTGAGGTACACACACCATAGAATTTTCAAGCCATTTGAAGTCAAAAGAGCATTTATTCAGGGACAAAGTTCAGACGTGTTGGGAAAGATGCAGGCATGGAAACAAGGAGCATAGTGAGGAAGTGGAATAAGTGATGTCACATCCAGGGAATTGCAATCAGTGAGATGAAACAGTGTGTGTGATTCATTGACTGTAAAACTGGGGACCTGCTCTGTAAACCTTTACCCAATTCACAATTAATAACAAAAATATTACAGCCAAGAAAACTCTAGGGAGCAATTCTCTGTCACATGGCATTGCTATGAAATGGAATTGATTCATTGGCACCTAACAACAAAGCTTGGACTCCACCTGGGACCAATTCAACCAGAACCTCTGTACAATATGAAGGGAATTCACTACCTTCCTCTGTTGCAAGACTCCAAACCCACATGCTATGTCTCTTGTGGAGGGTCAGTGAGCAAGGATGGACTTCCTCTGTCAAAAGAGAACTCACCCCAGTATAGTCAAGGGAGATGAGTGGAAGGAGGCAGAAAAGGAGAGAAAGCAAACTAGTAGTGATTTTTTTTTTTTTTTTTTGTTATTGTTAAAGTTTATTTAACATATGGCTGGAAAATTATCGTCCTACTAACTTCCTCTGCTGAGGGCCATCTCCTCCTTCTTAAAATCAGCTCTGGTCCACACACATGACACAGAATGTTAGGACTAAGTCAGGACCAATGGAAGAAAATGAGAAAAGCTTTTTCAAATAAAAGGGTCGATAATTTAAGATGCTGATCTGTCAGGCTGGCTCTAGAAACAGCATTGTGGATGAGGACCGAGGGGCAGAACTGGGTTTGGATTGGAGGGGGCATGAGCAAGGGGAACGTTGAGGGGTCAGAAGTGGGTCAAGAAGGAAGGCCTCCCAGGTTGCCCAGCACAGGTGTTTCCACAAGGTGATGAGAGGAGATGAGAGCCAGCTGGCATTAGGCTCTGGAGTTCCCAATTCAGGCTTTTAGATGAGATTGGCTTTCTTGTAGCTCATCTTGGAGTAGGTCAGGTGGTCCTGAGCTGTCCCCCAACAGAGCAGAGAGATGGGAAAGGCAGCAGGCTGAGATCTGAGACAAAGGCGAGTGTAACCCATGGACTCAGAACTGAGTCTTCACATCCTTGTCTTGCCATGGGGCCAGGTAATTTCTGGTCCCCACCCCAGTCTTGGAGCTTGCCTGCTACCTGGCCACCACCTGGTTTGTTGTTGTTAAGTACCATCGAGATGGTTCCAACTCATAGTGACTCTGTATAGGGTTTCTGAGGAGCAGTTGGTGGGTTTGAACTGCTGACCTGTTACACACAGTCCAGTGCTGATACTACAATGACACACCAGCTGGTAGGCTTGGATAAAGTGCTCAGGGAAGGACAGAGCAAGGTGCAAAACAACATAATCTAGTTAACGGAACTGCTAGGACCACCACTTACTCAGGGGTTTGGAAAGAAGCCAAAACAATATTCTCAGAAGCTTAAGCAGGGGCTGAGTTCCTTGCCTCTAAATCCAGAACTGGGTGGGCAAATGTGGAAACTGGTAGGAAGTTACCACCACTTTTTGGCCTCAGTTTGGGGTGTAAGCTAAAGTCCTCCTTTCTACAGTAGGGGCAGTATCTCCTCCACTCCACCATCTGCTCTAGCTTCCTGAGGCCTCCTCAGCCAGAACTTCACATCATCACTGGTGTTTGGGACACCCAGGAAGGAGATTCATTGTGTGGGAGGATCTTTGGGGAGAGGGTGCTAAGTCATGACCATTCCAGGACCTTTCAACTGCTCTCTTGCCCTGTGGTCAGGATTACCAAAGACAACTTGTTTGTTCACTGCCCCATGCCATGCCCAAGGATCAGGTGGGGTAGAACTCATACATCACTTCCTAGCCTCACACCTTGGTACCTGGTCGCCATCTTCCAGAGAAAGGGGCACCACCTTCTAATTGGTGCAGTGTTGATGCTTTGCCCCTTGTTCAGTCACATCCAAGTCAACTTGGAGTGGAGTGGACTGGCATAGAACCCCTCAGGTTCTGCCACCAGCCCCACTTAGCTTTAGTGATGACCCCTGGCATGCTGTGAGAGCCCTCCTCCACCCTTTAGACCTAATTCCCAAGATCCCTTGATCCACAGGACACTTCAAGATACTGTGCCTAGAAGGCCTGAGCCAGCTCAGCTATGATTTTTTTGTACTTTACCAGGAGCTGATAACCCAGCATTTTCTTCTGGAAGATGTTTTTGCTTGACGTGTGTGGGCTGGAGAATATTACCACCTTACCCACATGGTACTCATTGCATAAGCAGCAGAATGCATTGCTGAGGAGTCCTCGCAGAGTGCTCATTGTATAGTTCAGCTTATTTTGAAGGTTCTGGTTGTTGGGATTGAGGGTCTTCTGGTCTTGGGTGATGTTGCCCAGGAATGTGTAAATGTATGAGATGATGCGGTACAGCTCCATCAGTTTCTTCTTCTCTGTGCCTTCTGTGTGGAATGATGGGAAGTTCTTCAAGTTGTTGTCACACAGCTTGTCCACATTGTGGCGGAAAGGCTCCCCCTGGACCCTACACTGAGGAAGAGAGGGCAGAAGGAATGTGAGTTGTGCCTCAGTTTCCACATCTATGACATGGGAACCCAACTCCTTGTCCTGTAAGCATCTCAGGATCATCATTATGCAAAGTAAATGAAAATCTGGGTGTGAATGCACTTGGTAAAGAATCAAGGCATTACTTTGCAAGTGTTCCTCTTATTATTTATTATTTGTATTAGGAACCCATGAGTGGTACAAATGATTAAAACTCACAGCTACTAATCAAAAGGCTGGTTGGTCAAGAGTCCTGGTGTGGTGCCATGGGTTAATGCGCCAGACTGCAAAGCCGTTTGAACTGAAAGGTCAGTGTTTCAAGCACACCAGCTGCTCCTATACAGGGTCACTATGGATTGGAACTGACTCGAGGGTACTTAACAACAACAACAACAACAACCCAGAGATACTTCAGAAGAAAGGCTTGACAATCTGCTTCCAAAAGATCAGTCATTGCCAACCCTATAGAGTGCAGATCTATTCTGACACACACGGGGCCAAAGTGAGTTTGAGTCGACCCAAGGACAGTTGGTTTTGTTGTGGTTTTTTAGTATCATGATCATATGGGGAAAGAAAGGAAACCTAGGTCCCTTACCTGCAGAACTGTGTCTTCACCCACACTTGCCCTTCACCCACCTGGACTTCTCTCTGTACCCAGACACCCATCGCCCACTGTCTCAATCAACCATACCTCTCTAAACACTTCCCTGTGGGTTGGGGGTAAGGCCTGAGGAGTGTTGCATGTTGTTTAACCAGCCTCCCCCCCGCCCCTTCTTTCCTTCTAGTTCCAAAAAGGTCCCCTCTCTGGCCAACCCAAGTCAGTGCAGCCTCTATTAACATCTGTGGAGCTTCTGCCCATTTCTGCCACCCATCCCCTCTTTCCTTGGTCCCCACAGGGCATATCTTACATAAAGAATTAGGAGAACGTTGGCACTGCTGTTGAGCTGCACCAGTTGACTCTTGATCTGGATCATGAGGTTAGTGGCACAGGGGTGATATGTGGTGCAGGGGGCTTTGTCAGGAGTGATGGGAAGGGGGCTCCCTGCCCCATGTTTCCAATTCAGAGCAAGCAGCAGTGACAGGATTCCTGGGATCCAGAAGAGAGGTGCCATGATCAAGGCAGCAGGGGTAGCAGTTTGAGGCTCAGGATACACTGGATACGCTATCTCCACCTACAGGTTGTCACCGCCGCCTCTGTCTCTCTCTATCTCTCTTGCTATTCCTGTTGCTCTCTACCTGCTTATATTTCCCTGAAGGACATGAACTGTTCACACTGATTGGAATCTGGATCTACAAAGACACCCAACCATTGAATCCTACCCTGAAGAAGGCAAAAGTCCTCTGGCTCTCTGCCTTGAGGGTACCACTCCCCATCCTACTGGTGTAGAAGGCACCTATCTTCCCATCTCCAGAGACGGCTCAGATTCCTAACCACTGTTTCATATGCACAGCCCTGAGTGACTCAAATATCTCAATGTGAACTCTCATTGGGACCACAGAGCAGGGGTGGGTGGGAGTGGGTGGGTAGGAAGGGATCTTCATTGGACTTCACTCTCCCAAACTTGCCACCTGATTCTGATTCCCCAAGCCCATTAAGTCAATGCTGACTCATAGTGATATATGTATACAGAGTGAAACTGTGAGCATAGAATTTGCAGTGAGTGGTTTTTCAGAATTAGATTGCCAGACCTTTTTTCTAAGAGTCTATGGATGGGCTCAAACCTTCAGAAGGGGAGTCCCTGGGTTAATGTACTCTTCTACTAACCCTAATGGTTAATGTACTCTTCTACCAACCCTAAAGTTGGAATTTGAGCCCACCAAGAATCTCCTTGAAATAAAGACCTAGTGTTAACCCTTCAGTCATGCTCATTTTTCTTTTTATTCTTGCCTTTTTATTGTAGTTTGGGTGAAAGTTAACAAAGCAAATTAATTTTCCATTTAACAATCCATACACATTTTGTTGGTAACACTGGTTGCAATCCCCACAATGTAATGGCACTTTCCTACTCAAACCTCCGGAAGTGGGGTCCTGTTTGAATTTGTCCCTTTTTCCTGTCCCTTCCTGTCTCTGGGCTTTATCCCTTGGCAAATGCTGTCTTTTGGGTTGATTATGCTAAGAAGTTATATGAAGAAAAATGTGGCATCAGGATTGGAGGAAGACTCATTAACAACCTGCAATATGCAGAGGATACAACCTTGCTTGCTGAAAGCGAAGAGGACTTAAAACATTTACTGATGAAGATCAAAGAGCACAGCCTTGGTATGGATTATATCTCAATGTAAAGAAAACAAAAATCCTGACCACTGGACCAATAAACAACATTCTTATCAACGGAGAAAAGAATGAAGTTGTCAAGGACTTCACTCTTCTTGGATCAACCATCAACATTCATGGAAGCAGCAGTCAAGAAATCAAATGGTATATTTCATTAGGTAAATCTGCTGCACGAGACCTTTTTACAGTGTTGAAGAGCAAAGATGTCAGCTGGAGGATTAAGGTGCACCTGACCCAAGCCATGGTATTTTCAATAACTTCATCTGCATGCGAAAGCTGGATAGTGAATGAGGAAGACCGTAGAAGAATTGGTGCTTTTAAATAATGGTGTTGGAGGAGAATATTGAAAGCCCCATGGGCTGCCAAAAGAACCAACAGATCTGTGTTGGAAGAAATGTAGCTAGAGTGCTCCTTGGAGGCCTGGATGGCCAAACCTCGTCTCTCATATTTTGGACATATTGTCAGGAGGGACCACTCACTGGAGAGGGATGTCATGTGTGGTAAAGTGAAGGGTCAGAGTAAAAGAGCAAAACCCCCAGCAGGATGGATTGGCAAAGTGGCAGTATCAATGGGCTCAGGTGTAGCAGTGATTGTGAGGTTGGCCCAGGACCGGGCAGTGTTTCATTCTGTTGTGCGTAGGGTTGCCCTAAGTTGGTACTGGCTCTATGGCACCTAACAACAACATGCTAAGAAGTGCATTCCTCCCAGGTATTATTTTTTACCTGGTAGATCTGTCTGTTGTTTGGCTAAATGTTGATCTGTCTAGGTGGGTCCATTTTTAGGCCTGAAATGGAAAAAAAGGGGCCATAATCTTGGGTCCAGGAACCCCCCTTCTGCATAGTCTTTGAATTTAGGGCAGAAGAGATCTGGAAAGTTCTCTTCTACCTTAAACCCTGAGCTCCTTGTGAATTTAGAAATTGTTGAATTGTTGTGCATATTTTGAACACCTACAAATAAATAATTATTTATGGCACACATTGAACCAAATGTGTCATAGTAGAACTGCTCCATAGGATTTGCAATGGCTGACTTTTCATAAATTGATTACTAGGTCTAGTTTTCCTAGGAGATTCTGGGTATGCTCAAACTTCCCACCTTTTGGTTAGCAGGCAAAATATTTACAATACCAATGACTTCCTTTCTGAGTAATATTGGAATTTAGGGCAGAGGTGACATGGAATTTCTCTTTCTTCCACAATGAACCCTGAGCTCCTTGGACACTAAGCTTGGTCATGTGAGTGGACAGAGACAGAAAGAACATGAAGATGAGTAATCATGAGTAAAGTCTATCATGAACTTTGATGTCAGATGATCCTCTAGTCTCCAAGGGTCCCCAGCTTCCTCATCTGTAAACAAAGGATAGTAACCCAACCCAATTTACAGAGTAATTGGGAAGAACTAAAGATGGGTGGGAAAACACTTGTAAACTGTAATGTGCAGGGCCCATACACAGACCATGGGAGTCTGTATCTGCTGGGATAGATGTTAGTGTTGGGAGTCCTCCTGTCTTACTGATGTCTCCCAAGATCCCAAATGCAAGAAGGCTCAACTCAGGACCTGAGCTATCACCTCTGTCATGTGAACAGGAAACCTCTGTCAGGTCTGCTTCCTCAGGTAGAGAAAGAATCAGTGGGGAGGGTGATCCTCCCCATTAGCCTGGTTTGTTTCCTTGGGTTAGAGTTGTCAGAATCCTGCAGGCACAGGGACAGAATGGTGCCTTGTCTTGACAATGTAGAGGTGTCTAAGATTCACTTGACTTTGTCCATCTCCCCTTCTGGTGGGTGTGTCAGATCCCTGCTCATGGGCTCCTGCCAGCATCCTCGTGAAGACTAGCATTCATTGTTATCACTCTCACAATTGTGTTGGTTCACCCATGAGGACTAGCTATGCATGATCACAGGATGGGATGAGGTAGAGCCAGGGTGAGGACCCAGGCACCTCAGTGGTGCCCTTTTCCTCTGAGTGAGTGTCCTCACTGCTGGTTAGTAGGGTCACCCATTCACTGATTCCCAGTCCTCTGTTCTCTCTGACCCAAGGGAGAGCAGACAGCAGAACTCCTGCCTCTCCTAAGGAACCAGAGAATTCCATAAATCAGGGTTAGGGCAAGAACTCATCAGAAGATCTGTTGGCTGAGAGTTGAGTTCTGTCATTTTCTTCCTTTCTGGGCTTGGTGTTTGTTTTGTTTTCTCTAGTTTCCTAGTAAAGGTTTCTTTTGCAAAGATTCAACTTTATCTCAGATGGTCTGAGGAGATGTTGAGGATGGCTGGGTGTGGCTAATCGTGGTATGGAATTCAGCCATCCGGGCCTGGAGGGGCCAAGACATTGTAGCTGAACATGGGACAAGAAGTCCTGCTCCTGGCCCTGCCCAGCAGCCTCTCCCCTCCTAATCCAAGGGGGGCAGCTGTTGAATTCTAGAGGAGAAGAGGGGCCTAATATGTTCAGAAAATTCTTTATTCCACTTGGGTTTTTGCTGCTGTTTTTATTTATTTATTTATTTAAATTGTGTTAAAAACTATACATAACAAAACATTTCCTAATTTAAATTTTTTTTACATGTGCTGTTAACCCACTGCTATCAAGTCTATTTCAATTCGTTGTGACTCGTTATAGTGTTTCTGAGGCTGTAAATCTCTATGGGAGCAGAGAGCCTCATCTTTCTCTCCCTCAGGGGCTTGTTTGAACAGCCAACCCTGCGGTTAAAAGTCTTTTGCTTATCCTACAGTGTCATCAAACTTCCTTTCATGAACAATTAATAGACATTAATTATGTTGTAGAACCATCACCAATATTCATTTGCATTTTTTTCCATCACTCTTAACAAAAACTCAGTGCCTTCTAAGCAATGATGTATTCCAAATTGTGGAATACATTGTGAAGAATGGGAATTGTAGCACACTTAATTGTGCCCATGTGGAACCTGTACATACTTTATAATGATCCACACTGTTGAATGTCTTTGCATAGTCAGTAAAGCACAGGCAAACATTTTTCTGATATTCTTTGTTTTCAGCCAAGATCCATCTGTGGTCAACAATGGTATCCCTAGTTCCATGTCCTTTTCTGAATCTAACTTGAATTTCAGACAGTTCCCTTTAGATATATTGCTTCAACCATTATTTAATCATTTTCAGCAAAATTTAACTTACATGTAATATTAATGATATTGTTTGATAATTTCTGTATCCTTTTGGATCACTTTTCTTTAAATGGGCACAAGTATGGATCTCTTTCAGTCAGCTAGCCAGGTAGCTGTCTTCCAAATTTCTTGGCATCGATGAGTAAGCATCACTAGCAATACATCAGTTTGTTGGAACATTTCAATTTGTATTCTGTCAATTCCTGGATGCTTGTTTTTCACCAGTGGTTGGACTTATTTCTTCTATAATATTGTTTCTTGGTCAGATGCCATCTTGAAATGGCTGAATGTTGACTGATTCTTTTTGGTACATGGATTTGGTACATGTATTTCTTCCATCTTCTTTTAATGCTTCTGGCATCATTTAATATTTTGTCTAAAAACCAAAAACTAAACTAAACGCCCCCCCCCCCCCAAAAAACAAAATGACTACCATGGAGTTGATTTCAACTCATACCAACCCTATGTGGTTGTTGTTTGTTAACTGCCATAAAGTCAGTTCTGACTAATAGCAACTCTGCATAGTGTTTCCAAGGAGCTATTAGTAGATTTGGGCCACCAGTCTTGTGGTTAGCAGCTCAGTGTTTATCATACAGCATCACACCAGGACTCCAACCTTATAGGATCCTTCAACATTGCAACTCAAGGCTTGAATTTTTTCCAGCTTTAGAAATGCTGAGCTATTTAGTCTCTTTTGGATT